ATTAACATTGCTCTAGCCGACAACCATATTTGGAGCGATCAACAGTAACAATAAGCCATCTTTACTTCCGTAAATTCCGTTCTTTGTATGGAAAATTCAGAATAAGAGAAGCTGGATTTAGAATTCCCAAGAGGTTATCCGGATTGAGAATTGAACTTTAACTGCGTATAAATGTCACGTGAAATATAATAAATTAAAACTATATATTTAATTTTTATTACAGAGAAATCTCAAAAAATACTAGCCAAAATTAAAAAAAAATCAGTATCAGTTCACCTAGTTGACATTTATTAATTTACTGCCGGATGTGCTAAATGTATTCTGGTTTATAACGGCATTCTGTCAATATTAACAGAATTTGCAGAACGCTGTCAAAAAGCAGTATACATTCAGCAATTAGTAACCAATCATATAATTTCAACCAAAATCGCACAGTATGCAAATACTGTATTGAGCTAAAAATTATGGATCATATGATTTTCGTGGAATTCTTCGATGTGCTCTTGGAGTAGTTAATGGCATACATATAACAATCACTATCTTGAAGTGCTAATGAAATATAGGGTGAAATGATACTGATTTTACCACTTTCGGCTAGTGAAATTTATCCTGTCCGAACCAAACCCTTGGCAGTGTGAGGATCAATAATAAAAATCGCCTTTAGGGAGCCTAAGTATATGTTTCGGGCAGAATTAAAAAGTGCATTTAAGTATGTGTGCATTTAGGGATAGAGATGTGTTCTGGTGATTATGGAAAGTTATCGGTTATAATCAATTTACTAAATTTGAAAGGATTTTGTTTTTTGAATTATTAATTAAAGTTATTTATAAATAAATACTTTTCATACTATCCTATAATAAGAAAGCAAGATACCTTCTCCAAATTTGGAAATTTAAAATTTATCATCGATTAGGTCGGATATAACCGTCTGTAACCGACCGGTAACTGATGCCTAATTTTGAAAATTTTGGATTTTAGTGCTTTTGTTATAAGATATTATAAACAAAATTTAAATTCTAAGCACTTTAACTAATTGTTTAAAAGAAACTAATTACAATTGATTGTAAACAATTATAACCGAACCCATCCCTATTTAGAGAAGGTGCATTTAGGATTTTTCTTTGTATATAAGAAAATGTTAATATATTCTAAACCTAAAGTTTTGAGGCCAGAGGCTTGAAATTTGCTTAACATAAGGTCAATATGTGTGAATGTTTAGTTCTTTACTTTAATAAATAAAAAATAAATAACCATAAATGCATTTAGATTGCATTACTATTACTGTATAATGTTTTTTAAAAAAAATTAATAAAATGAAATACTGTACTAAATATGCATTAATAACTTGTCGTATTTGGATAAATTAATGTAAATTTCACACAAACAAATTTGACTCAATAGATACAATAATTTAATTATTGATATATATATATATGTAACAGTTAGTAAAAGCCTGGAAATCATACCTTCTGAATATTTACTTTTAACAGAAATATTTTAAAAAATCAAGTAATTGAATACTTAAAATTAATATAATTCAGATCATCTCAATATTAAAATTAGGTAGCTGCGTGACGTAGTCACTGAACCAGGAACGGAGCTAGCTTTATTGTTAGTATTTCATGGAAAAAAAATCTATTTTATGATACCTTAATGTAATAAATTATAATGTGAATTGATGGGATGAACGAAAATAGTATTTGGGATAGATTCTCATGAAAGTAGAAATAGTGCTCGCAATTGATTCTTATCCAAAGTCAAAGACTGAATCGTAGGTAGAGAGTATGAAGCTCAAGAACCATTGGCTGTTCTTAAGAATGTAATAGAACAGAATAGCAAATTTGCAAGTATGCATAATATTGGTAAAAAATGGTTAACAGATCAAGAAATTTTAGAAAAGTAATGTGTGGTTTGTTGGAAAAAGTAGGTATAAGCAGTTTAATTCTTGTCATAAATTATGTAGTGAATCTCTCTTATAATATAAACCATGAAAAAATTTTAGAGGCTTATAAATTAAATATTCAGTACAAAAAAATTAATTAATTTTGCGTATGTAAAGGATATTAGATGATGAGTATCGGTATGGTTTTTTAAATAGGTAGCGTACATCCTACACCATACTGATATTCGTATTACCTTTTTCGCTACTAAAATCATGAGATTATCTGTTAAATTACACGACATACCACACCGTTAAAATAATAAACTTAAAAAATCACGAACTCACCCATTATTAAGATTTACAAATTCACCGTAAAATTATGAACCCACCATTCCACAATTAAAATCACTACTTACCCATGCTAAAATCGTAAACTAATTTATCAATTTGCCACAAACTCAGATTTATGAAATCATGTACATTACTGTTGAAACAATTAACCTGTCCACTACTCAAACCATGAACCCGCTCACTGTTGAAATTACGAATCCATTCACCTGCTGTTAAAATCATGAATCCACACGCTATTTAATTCATCAACCCAGTCACCATTAAAATTACGAACTTATTTGTTGTGGAAATCACTTTTAAAATTATTAACCCACCTATTTCTAAGATCATGAACCTGCCCATTGTTAAATTGTGAACTCACCCAATGTTGAAATCACTAAGGATATTCTCAACATTCACCTAAGATAGTGCACAAGTATATGACGTAAGTTAGTTATTCTTATAATAGTTTAGATATAAGTTAATAATACGAGTTATTGAGATGGGCTCAAGTATTGATTACTCTGATTTGTACTCAATTGTTACGATAGATTATAATAAATACCTCAATCACTGCTTGAATGGATTTTAGATGGTTTATAAAAACAAACATAATAGTAGAAATATGTTAGTGCGTTAATAACGAAGATCGTAATAAAAGGTTTGAAAACGTTTGAAAAGTAATTCTATACATTTAATAGTTATAAATTTTGATAAGACTGCAAAACAAGAAAAAAGAAAAAAACAATAGTTCAGGGCAAAAAGTTTATGACTGAAATGTTGAAATCACCGGTCGTTTTTCTCTATTGAAAATTTTCTCTTTGACGCAATGAACTACGTATTCCGTAACTTATTTATCTTAATGACAGCTCATTTGATCGATTGAAGTGTTTTTCACTAATTAAATTTAATTCCCAGCATATTTTTAGACACATTCTAACACATTGATTGAGGCACTCAAGAATGCTCTAATTCATACACCGTTGGAATCACTCATCCAACTACTATTTAAATCACATTATAATCATGAACCTATTCACCATTGAAATTACAACCAACACACTATTTAAATTAAGAGCCTACCTACTGTTGAGATTGCTATCTACCTACTACTAAAATTATGAATCTAGCACCGTACAAGTATCATGACGTAATTTTAGCTATTTTCATAATATTTTAGAAAAAAGTCAATAATATGAATAACGATATTTTTGAGATGTGCTGATTTTCTAATAATTGCAGTGATGCTCAATTGCTACGATAGATCAAAATAAAGACCTTAATCACTGCTTAAGTAGATTATAGATAGTTTATAATAACAAAACATAATAATACTCTAAAAAGTATGAAAACGCTTGAAAAGTAACATTACTTATTTTAATAGTTATAAAGTCTTAACAACAGTGCAAAAAAAAAAAAGTAGTTGGAGTCAAAAAGTTTTTCGACTTGAATGGTCAACTGATCATTTTTCTCTATTAATTTTTCCTTTTAACGTAATAAACTACATTATTTATCTTAAAAGCTCGTTTGATCGATTAAAATATTTTTCGCTAATTAAATCTAATTCCTGCTGCATTTACTCCCACGTTTTGATGAGTACTACCCATCTGTTATTGAATAATGAATCTACCACTGTTGACATCAACAATCCACTCATTATTGAAACCACGAATCACAGTTGAAATTACTAACCTAACTACTATCGAAATGATGAATCTACCCATTGCTGAAATTACAAACAAGTCCCCAGCTAAAATTATGAATTTGCCCATTTTAGAAATTACTAATCCACCCATTAATAAAATCGTCAATTCCTTAATATGGAAATTGCGAACCTATCCGTTATTTAAATCATGAACTTGCTTACTATTATTATCATGAACCAGCCCACTATCAAATCACGAACCCACCAGTGTTAAAATCACAGACCCACCCACTAAAATTAGAACATATTCACTTGTTCATTGGAATTAGAACTACCACTGTAATACTTGAAGTTGACGCCTACGTACCTATAGTCATATTCGATTTAAACTAGCCTCTGAAACTAGATTTTCTTGCATGCATTAGCTGATAAATACCGGGCAGGTATCCAAATAAATTAGTTCTATAATAAGTATAACAGGTATAACTGAGAGGTAAAGATTTGATATATGATTCTGTACAATTGTGTCTCTCAAAATTGGTATTGTTATGCAGTTCAAATATGATTGTTTTATCAAGATAATAATCTATGCAGTCACTCTAGCATCCGGCGATTCTGCGTTTAGCTAATAGCTATTTTAAAGCTTATACATTTTAATGTTCCTAATAAGTTGCCATGAGATAGCATTCGTCTCTGAACCTTGTCTACAGGTCGTTATCCCCTTCTTTTTGACCAACAAAACGCTTGTTGAACTTCGTTCTTATGTACAAATAGGATATATGGGCTAGGTGTTGAGAAAATGGTCTAAATTGACTATTTTCAACCCCTTTTCTAAGCTTAACTAATCCAAAATTAGCTCAGGAACATTTTTTACTTAAGGAACAAATACTGTTATCTTAATAAAATTTTGCAATAAAGTCATCCCTCATTAATATCAACCCCGTTAATATCAATCTAGGCTATAAAATGAAGTTCTATATGTTAAAATAATATTAAACTTCCCCCATATATATCTGTTCCCTCATTAATATCACTATCAACATGAATATAAAAGTAATCCAGATAGGTTGATATTAATGAAGGACGACTGTATAACTTTTAAAAGTTTGTATTTTCTTATAAATTATTATAGAGTCTAACAAACAATTTTCCGCAAAAAAATTTTTTTGCCTTTTTCTCAGCACCTAGTACTAGCCCATATCGGTATCAATATAGACGGTAAAAGTAAAAAAGGCAGTAACTTGATTACTAGACGGTAAAAGTAAAAAAGGCAGTAACTTGATTACTAAGCCATATAGGCTTAGATAGACATCAAGCTGCATGCGATTCAGTTAGTCAATCATACTACTTTAATAAATCTCAATATCTCGTAATTCCTTATCGTTATCGCGTCTTCTCGATCTGTTGATATATTCTAATAAGTCTTTTACTTTTTCAAATTTTCATTATGCCTTCTTAATTTTTCATTGCGATATTTTAGCAATGCGGCATTATGATGACATTATAGAAATAACAACATAATATTAAAGTTTTATGACAAATAAACAATGATAACCGTGACTATCCCAATGACAATATAACGGATTTTTGCCTTCTGCACAGATATAAGATTTTTTGATTATTTCACATGATGAGCAAAAAAATAAAGATAGTTCAAATAACGACAAAAATTTTTTAGGGGATCAGAGCAGAATGTATAGGATGATCAGAATAGCTCGGATAGTTCAATGAAGAACATTACATAATATATGTATACATCAGAGACCTGCGAAATCTGTGATATAATTTAGCAAATTGTGTTTTTGATATCAATAAATTATTTGATTTACTGCTGATTAATAATACAGAAAAAAATGCAGATTCAATTA